CTACTAACGACTAGCTTACTACTGCTACACTAACTACTACACTACTACTACTACTACTACACTACTACTACTACTTACTACTACTACTACTACTACTACCTCTAAACTACTACTACTACTACTACTACTACTACTACTACTACTACTATCGACTACACGACTCGACCTACGACATCTACATCTACATCACATCTACATATACGACTACTACTCTCCCCTGCTGCTGCTACTTACAAGACTACTACACAACCTACTCCTACTCCTACTCCTACTACCTACTCCTACTCCTACTCCTACTACTACACTAAACACTAATACTACTACTACCACTACCACTACCACTACCACTACCACTACCACTACCACTACCACTACCACTACCACCACCTCTACCACCACCACTACCACTACTGTCACTACCACTACCTCCACTACTACTACGGCCACTACTAGTACTACTACTACTACTACTACTACTACTACTACTACTACTACTACTACTACTACTACTACTACTCCTTCTACAACCACTACTACTACTACTACCACTACTACTACTACTACTCCTACTACTCTACTACACTACTACTACTATAGGGGTCTAACTACTACTGCGACTACTACGAACCACTACACTACTACACTACTATACTACGACTACTACTACTACTACTACTACTAACTACTACTAATACTATACTACTAACTACTAATGCTACTACTACTACTACCTACTACTACTACTACTACTACTACTACTACTATAACTACTACTACTACTACTACTACTACTACTACTACTACGACGACTACTACTACTACTACTACTACTACTACTACTACTACTACTACTACTACTACTACTACTACTACTACTACGACTACTACTACTACTACTACTACTACGACTACTACTACTACTACTACTACTACTACTACTACCACTACCACTACCACTACCTCTACCACTAACACTAACACTAACACTAACACTAACACTAACACTAACACTAACACTAACACTAACACTAACACTAAGACTAACACTAATACTACCACTAGGACTACTGCTACTACTACTACTACTACTACTACTACTACTACTACTACTACTACTAGTACTACCACTACCACTACCACTACTACCAGTACTACTACTACTACTACTACTACTACTACTACTACTACTACTACTACTACTACTACTAAGTGTACGATTACGTCTACTACTACTTCTACTACTACTACTACTACTACTACGACGACGACGACGAGGAGCAAGCGCAGGCGAAGAAGCACGACGCCGACGACGACGAACGCACTGCGATGCCAGGGTCCTGGATGGACAGCGTCTTGGCGTCTGGATCCATTTCGATCTTGACCTCCAGGTCCTTAGCATCACCCAAGAAACTGTCGTCCTGAACGCTGTGGAACCGGGCCTTCTCCAGGGCGTCGGCGGCGTTGGAAATCAGCTCACGCAGGAACACCTGCTTATCAGTGTACAGAGAGTTGATGATGATGTCCATGAGACGGCTGACCTCCGCCTGGAATTCGTGCTTCTCCTCGCCTTCCTTCATCTTCTCCCGGTCTGCCCCAGAGAAGCCGTCGACGACCTTGTCCTCCGCCGCGGCCTCCTCTGCGCGGGCACGCCCACATGACGCGACCAGCAAGAAACTGCACAGGAATATCCTGCGAGTGAGCGCCATTCCTCGCTGCCTATATTCCTCCTATTTCCTGCGGCGAGACAAAACGCGCAGAGGCGTCCTTTAAGCCAAAATGGCTACCCAAAAGATCACAGTGAACGAAGTGTGGGGGGCTGGCGAAGGGTGAGACTAAGGGCCAACACTGTTCGCGGTCAAAAGCCTGGGAAACCGAGAGCAGAAATCCAGTCAAAATCCGCCGGCCCTGGCTTGCCCAGGGTGAAAAAGCGTGTGAGATGATTGGCTGTGCCCCCTCCCCTTTCCCCCTCCCCTAATGCCCAAAATCTCGTCAAAGAGGGATGGGGGAGGATCCCTGGCGCGCCCCTGAAAAATCCCCCGGAGCTTCCAAGTCTGCCTTCCGCGGCGTCAAAGACGTTCCAAGACGGTCCCGAATCGCCGAACGATTGACCCAAGACGCCTACGATGGCTCCAAGACGCCCCAAGACGCCTTCGAGACGCCCTAAGAGAGGCCCGATCCTTCCCAAGAGGGCCCCGATAGGCAAAAATCAATGGGCATTTCATTGTTTCTGGGGAGTGGCCCTCCTGGAACCCGCCTGGAGCCTCGCTGGGGGCCCATCGGGGGCCACGGGGGCCGCCAGCCTGTTTCGACGAGGACGAGGAGGAGGAAGGACGACGAAGACGAAGACGACGACGACGACGACGACGACAACCCTGAAGGCCATTCCTGATTTTTCGCTCCTGGGGGCCAGATTGGATGATTCGAACTTTCTTGGGGTTCCCGTGATGCCTCTTGGGACTCTCTTGGGACTCTTTTGGGGGCTATCGGGGCTCTCTTCGGGATCTTCGGGGAGGTTGACGACGACGACGACGACAACAACTACGACGACGACAGGAGTAAATCAGTGACCCGCGCGGGTCACAGGTGTTCGTCCTTAGTCAGAGGAGATAGGAGGGGTAGGAAGAGGTAGGAAGAGGTAGGAGGAAGCCAGACGACGACGGCGATGACGACGACGATGACGATGACGACGACGACGACGACGACGACGACGACGACGACGAAGGCGACGACGACAACGACAGGAGTGCCCCGATGACCCGCGCGGGTCACCAGTGTACTTATTTGTCGGGGGAAATGGGCGGGGGCAGGAGGAGGTTGGAAGAGGTGGGAGGAAGCCAGAAGGCGACGTCGACGACGACGACGATAGGAGCACACTGGTGACCCGCGCGGGTCACCACTTTACTGGCAGGGGGAGCAAATTTGAAGAGAAGGAACTTGAGGGGGAGTCGCCTTTGATCCGGCGATTCCTATGTTGACGAGGACGAGGAGGAGGAGGAGGAGGAGGAGGAGGAGGTGGATAAGACTGCCCTGCAGGAGCGCACGGAAGGATAGAAGCAAGGAAGGTAGACGATGAAGGCGAGAAGAGAACCCCTGAGACGATGCGGAAGAGCGTGTCGCATGCGAGCGCTCTCCCAAAGCCTCGGGCCACGAGGTTTCACACGTTACGACCTCCTGTGCGCCCCCCGAAGAGTCGCCGCCCAGGGTGCTGGGCTCGCACGGTGGCGGGGCTCGGCGCAGAGAGCCGGAGAAATATCAGAAACCACATTAGGCGACGGCCACTGCCACCACGCCATGGACAAGAAAAAACGCACGAGCAAGAAACGTACTCCAGATTTCGTAATAAAAGGGAGGGGGTCTGGACCCTCCAAGACAAGCCATTCCAGACCTCCCCCGTGGGAGAACCCTCCAAAGCATCGTCCCCAGACCCCCCAGGCCCTCCAAGATAGCCTGGAAGAGACCCCCCCCGAAATGAGACCCCCCTCCCTTTATTACGAAATCTGGAGTAGACGTGGAACGCGCTGTGCGAGCGGCCAGCAGGCGTCCGACACAGCCCTGCCGGGGCGGGTGCTGGGGCGCTGCAAGGTGGAGCCATTTGACGCGCTCCAGGGTGATCTGGAGCTGGGCGCATCCTCGGCGGTGGCAGAGCACGCTGCGGTTGAGGGCCGCACTGTGCATGTGTGGGGGTGGGGGATGGGCAGCGCTCGCAGGACTGGCTCGCCTGGTGCGATGCTTGACTGCACGACGGGCGCGACAAGCCAACTCTGCCGAGGTGCAGGGGATGCTCGTGATGACCACGGAGACGGGAAAATCATCGTGGCTGTGAGTGTCCAGGTGCTTGTGGGTCTCGCTGGCGGCCCTGGACCGCCAATCATACGTCTGGGGAGAGGGGCTCAGCCTGTGCGTGGGCAGCGAACTCGTGAGCGTGGTCGTGAATTCCGAATGGAGGACCACAGGCGCGGCGCGCAGGCGTGCACGCCGACACACGGAACGCAGGCGGGAAGGAGGGCGATCGCGCGACGCCTCAAGCTGGACATCGACCTCAAGGAGGCGGCCGGCCTCGAGGGTGACGTCCGCAGTGGGCCGGTTCGCGAGGCAGAACGACACCAATGGAGAGAGGCGGCGGCCACCTCGCCTGGAGGAGGATGCGGTGATGGTGCTGACCGTGGCTGGAGACCGTCTGGGGCCATCCACCGACCAGGTTGGCAGTCTGCCTGGTGACCACGACGTGGCACCTGCCACGAGGGAGGCTCCCAGGGTCAGCGAACCCCGGCGGCGTGTCGCATGGAGGCGGCGCCGTGGGGATGCGCACGCGTCTGCTGCGAAGGGCGGTGCGGCGGGGTGCTCCCGGAGGGTTGGGCTGGCCGCCCCCCAGGGCCGGGGCTGCGGCTGCGCCGAGCAGGAGCCCGAACCCGGACCGCAGCGCGGACCGCCGCCGCTGGAGCCGCAGCCGCAAGCCGCAGCCGCAAGCCGCAGCCGCAGCCCGCCTCCTCCTCCTCCTCCTCCTCCTCCTCCTCCTCCTCCTCCTCCTGCTCCTCCTCCTCCTCCTCCTCCTCCTCCTCCTCCTCCTCCTCCTCGGGCTGGGGCTGCGCCAACTGGGAAGCCTGCCGCAGCCCGGTGGGGCGGGGGCGCACGGAGCGAAGAGGTGCGGCAGGGTCTGCGTGAGCGGCAGGGTGCGCCTGGCGGGGACCGTGCGCGGCCGCGCGACGCGGGCCTGGAGCGCGGACGGCCGGCGGAGCGCCGCGGGGAGGCGCCACGCCTCGCGCTGCGCCTGAGCGACGGGGCGCGCGCCTCGTCGGGCGGGAGGCGCACGGCTGTCCTGGCTCGAGGGCGAGTGCCTGAGGAAGGGGGGGGGAGGAGGGAGTGCGGAGGGCGGAGGAAGGAGGAAAGGAGAGGGGAAGGAGAGTGGACGAAGGGAGGGAGGGAGGGAGGGAGGGAAGGAGGGAGGGAAGGAAGGGAGGAAGGAGGGGAGGGAGGGAGGGAGGGGAGGGAGGGAGGGCCTCCTTTTCAGAGTGCGCATTGTGGAACGCGATCCACAGGTATATGAGGAGATATCCTCGCTTGCCTCATTGGGCGTCACACTCAACAGCCCTGGAAAAGAGACGACGGCGGACAAACGCCGTCAGAACCGCGCACCCGAGAGCGAAGACTACGCTAGAATGCGATCGCCACTACGGCGGGAGCGCGTGCGCAGGGCCCTCAAGCAGGACCTCTGCAAGCGCGCTTCCTGCTGGTCCAACGCTCGGGCCGGGAGTCCAGCTCACAGCTCCTCCTTCTCCTTCTTCTCCTTCTCCTCGTCCTCGTCCTTATCATCTTCCTCCTCTTCTTCGGCCTCTTCCTCATCTTCCGGCACCTCCACCTCCTTCAGGGGGGCGTCCGGGTCCACGCCCAGCTCCTTGGACATCAGCCGGTACACACGATTTACCAGGGCGGAGGGGTCGGCAATGTCGTAGCCAGACTCGATAAGCGCAGTCTGGAACAGCACCTGCGCCGTGTCCAGGGCCGCGGGGTCCTCCTTGTTGGCCTTCACCTTGGCCAGGAGGTCGACGACGACGGGGTGGTTCGGGTTGACCTCCAGGGTCTTGCGGCCTGCCATCATGGACATCTGGTCCTTGTTCTGGAACGCCTGGGCCTTCATGACCCTCTCCTGCTGCGCCGAGTAGCCGAACTGCGATGTCACCACGACCACTGGAGAGTCTGTCAGACGCTTCGACACCTCCACCTTCTCGATCTTCACCCCAGACTCCTTCATAGCACCCTTCTCGGTAAAGGCGGTGAGCGTCTCCTTCCACCAATCGGTGAGGGGCTTGTACATGTCCTTGATCTTGGTGAACTTCTTCTTCTCCTCCTCAGACTCGTCGAGTTTCACATCGGCCTTCTGGATCGAGACGAATTTCTTACCCTCGTAGTCCGCCAGCTTTTGGATGCAGGGCTCATCAAGGTGGTCGGACAGCATGAGCACCTCCAGGTCCTTCTTTTTGAAGATCTGGAGGGCAGGGGCCTTCTTCATCGTCTCCTCTGAGTCCCCGGACATGTAGTAAATGCTTTCCTGGCTCTCCTGCATGCGGTCCAGGTACTTGTCCAAGCTGATCTCCTTACCTTCGGACTTGGTGGTGAGGAATCGTAGCAGCTTGGAAAGCTTGGAGCGGTTCGAGTCGTCCTCGTAACAACCCATCTTCAAGTTTTTGTTGAACTCCTTGTAGAACTTCGTGAAAGTGCCTTCCTCGTCATCCTTTTTCTCCTTCTTCTCCTCCTTTGCCTCGCCATCCTTCTTCTCCTCTTCCTCATCGCCTTCCTCTTCCTCGTCGTCGCCGGACTCTTCCTCCTTCGACAACTTCTTCATTAGCTCGAGCACCTTGCGCACCAGCTTCTTGGAGATCACCTTCATGATCTTATTCTGCTGCAGCTGCTCGCGAGACACGTTCAACGGCAGGTCGTCGGAGTCGACGACACCGCGAACAAAATTGAGGTACCTCGGCAGCAGCTCGTCGAACTTCTCCGCCACCAGAACGCGGCGAACGAAAAGTTTCACCTCGGACTTCTTCTGATGATAGTTGTCCATCATGTCGAAAGGAGCTTTCTTGGGCAGGTACAAAATAGACTTGAACTCGATTTCTCCCTCGGCGTTGAAGTGCGTGTACGCCAGCGGGTCCAGGTAGTCCTTCGAGATGCTCTTGTAGAACTCTGAGTACTCCTCCTCGGTCACGTCCTCCTTGTTACGCAGCCAGATGGCCTTCTGTGTGTTCACCTGCTCCCACTCATACACAGTCTTCTTCTCGGGCTTCTTGTCCTCCTTCTCCTCTTCTTCCTTTTCCTCGTCGTCTTTAGTTTCGACGTCGTCCTCGTCCTTCTCGTGGTCTTCGTCATCATCCTCGTCGGCCTCAGCCTCGACCTCCTTTTTCACTTTGACGTAGATGGGGAACTGAATGAATTGGGAGTACTTCTTCGCCACGTCCTTAAGCTTGCTTTCGGAGAGGTAGTCGTGAGCGTCTTCTTTCAGGTGCAGGGTCACACGCGATCCACGGCCGAGCGTGTTCCCGCGGGGGTCGGG